CCGTGCCAGTCATCAGTCAGGAAGTGAAGAAACCCGCCGTGAGAGACGGCAGCGACGTGAGCATCCCCGCTCATGTCGCCGGCCAGATCACGCAGAGCGCGGCGGGCCTCGCGGGCTCGGGCGGTGAGCTTGGCGAGCGTGGGCTCGAAGGGGCTGCTCTCGCCCTTGTCGGTCCAGATATCACGGACGCGGGAGGTGTCGACCTTGGCGCCGAACTCGGCCGTCAGCTTGCTGACGGGGGAGCCAATGTCGCAGCCCGAGGCGGACACCTCCTGGAGGACGTCGAGGGCGACGACGGGGTAGAGCCGCTCGTCGCCGACGGAGTGGATGCAGGTGTGGAGGGTGCGGCGCATGGGGGAGGCGGCGAGGCGGGTGAGCTTGTCGTGGGCCGGGAAGGTCTCGCGGACGGCGGCGCACTGGGAGAGGCCGAGCTCGGTGAGGTCCGGGTCGTGGATGGACTCGTTCTCGAACGAGAGGTTGTGGACGCCCTGGGCGTGGCGGATGAGATGGATGGTTGGGGCCATGATGGAGAGTGAAGGAATTTACAGTAGGTAAAGTTGGGTAGATGACTGCTTATGCCCAAGGTAGAGTGGCAGAGGATGGGGACAGTGAGTGAGATGTTCACGGTCCTTGAACTGTTGTATAAGAGTGAGTTGAGTCAGGAACAAACCTTGCTTGTCACGATTCATTAATACTCTGTTCCATGCCTACTTTAGTCATTGCCGTCCGGTAGAGGTACCCAATCTGCGGGTGAGATCCACCCTGCGTTTACATCCAAGCAGCCAAGCCACTACAGTATATCCCAACCTTTGGATGCTCTCGCACAGTTGCAACACATGATGCCGTGCTCGTCTCTTTCTTCGTTAGCATAAGCACGTTATTCGACGCTTCATGCCATGAAAGTCCTTGTAAAATGCCTCAATCCTTCAGCCCTCTCTCGTCTTACTCGGCCGGACAACACCGGATCAACACGAACCCAGCAACATCGTCTAGGATTTGTAGCCTGGCAGGTACCGCCTCTCCAGACATTCGCGAACATCAGCCCCTCTTTCAGAATATAGGCAGCCAGCGGCCCAGGAACCGCAATACAACAAAGTGGCACATCGTAACGTTGACCAAAAGGCAGAGGTTGTAGGGTGCCCAAGTGGGTCCAGCTCCGTGGCCGGAGGCGGAGATGATTCACCCTCATCGTGCATCGGTCGCCGGCGCCGATTGGCTCGTCCCCAGAGTCCTGCCCGTACCTTTGGAGAGTGACGGTCATGTTAACAGAAACCACTCTCTATAGGCTTGAAAAGAAACGCAATTTATCCTTGAAATAACAAGTCTGGCAAACCTAGTCAGGAGGATTGCAGGTCAGGAAATACTAAGTTAGCAGTATGCGCACCTCGCAGGTTTTTCACACAGATCTGTATACAAGAGCAGATCGCCGTATACTTCACTGAATGGTTGGCATATTGAACAGACTCTGAAAGAAAGAGAGCGAGTGCACACGCTTTATTGTTACTATTCTTTCTGCAGAAGACAGGCCTAAGTGAACCAACCCCTTGACATCTCGAATTGATGCCAAATCACTGAACACACCAAACGCCTCCCGTGCTTTGGATAACAAAACGGTCCGAGAATCATTTATACACTCACAACGCAGATAAATCATCAAAGTTCAATTAAAGCTTCCTCTTGCGCAGGCTTCCTCACGGGCTCGTGCTGAGGAACGCTTGGGAATACATTGCCTTGTTGGTACCCAGGGTAAGCCCAGTTCTGAGCACCTTGCGGTGGCTGCTGATATTGCTGTGGGGGTTGCTGCGGCCAATATTGCTGCGGAGCCTGTGGTTGCGGCTGGTGTTGAGGCTGTTGCGCTTGCTGTTGCTGAGGTAGGGCTGGGGACTGAATTGGGGTCTGCTGAGGCGGACCTTGACCAGCTTGTGGTGGCTGTGCCAGCTGAGTAGGTGTTTGCACCGGAGTCGCCTGGGATTGCGCAGAGATGGATCCTCTCTGGGATTGAATTTGCTGTGGAAGGTTCGGATATGGAGATGCGTTCACATCGGGGACGGTGCTAGGGGCGGATGGTCCTGAGGGGACTGGAGGGGCTGAAGGAGCAGACGGAGTTTGGGTTGGCGGCTGGTTACCGAAGTAATATGAGGCGTGAGGGTCCTGAGAAGGCAATGCAGATGATTGTTGTGGCGTGGGCGCCGACGGTACTTGGTCCTGAGGTTGTGCTGGTTGCTGTGGTTGTGGAGGCGCGGGCTGCTGATTTGGTTGATAGTGAGGCCCGGAGCCGGCAGCATGATTCTGCCAACTATCGGATCTGTGCACCTGTCCTTGTGCAGGATATTGGCCTGGAGTTCCCTCGGGGGGCGCACCGTAAGCAAACTGAGGCGGTTGGCCAGGCTGTGGTGTTCCTGGTGGATATTGTTGATGCACGGGTGCTTGATAGCTTGCTCGGTGTTGATGGCCGTAAAAGCCCTCTGCGCCTGCGGCAGCATTGCCTGCCATATGCGAAGGAAGAGAGGGGTATGGCCCGGATGGCTGACGGGGAGGTGGGATATTGTATCCCCCCAGATTTTGCTGGCTGTAAGCCTTTGAAAGACGATCTTCCAGCATGCGGTCATAGTATCGAACGACAGTAGACAGCTTAGCGTGTAGATCCAGAAGAGTGTCTGGGACAGCGAATATCAGTATGGGTAGATGCCATGGGGAAAGTGTCAGCTCAACTTACCATGTTTACTCATCGTTTCGCCATAGGTTCGTGCCAACTTAGGTCTAAGAGTCCCTATGCTGTCATAGAGTTCCTGGATCTGCGGCTCACGTAGAATTGTCCCGGGCGGCTGAGTCTGAAGTCGGTCTACAAGAGTTGAGAATAGGTTGATGTTCTCAGCCTCGACTGGTGTCAGCTCGTAGTCGTTTCGTGGAAGAGTGAAGTTCGCTGGTGCCGTTGACGATGATTGGTTTGATGTTTGCTCTTTCAGCGCCGCGCTATGTTTCTGCTTCTGCTCCTCCATGTCCGCAAGAGATGCGGCGATCGCTGCCTTTAGATCTTCGTCCTCCTCTTCCATCTGCTTCGTGGCCGCGGAATTCGTGTTGGTTGTCAAGGTGCTGGGTGGAGCTGGGGCTGGATTGAAGTTGTGCTTTTGAACGTCCTCCAAGCTCATGGCCAAGGCCTTCTTAAGATCCTCATCGAAAACATCGTCAACTCGAGCATTTCGAGGTTGCATCGCCGTAGTGCTTCGGTGCTTGTGAGGATATGTTGGCGATCGATCCAGCTCCTTATGCCCCTTCCCGGTAAGTTTAGCATAGCAGCCATCGTCCACTCGAACTGGAGTATGAATGCCGAGGTGAGGAAGAGGCACAGACTTGCTGGAACATTGCTGGTCGAAGCAGTTGCCGCAGTTCCTGCAGTGGTGCTTCCGGTTCGTAAAGGTAAACGGCGTTCGGCATCGCATACAAACATCGGAATCGGCCCATTCAGGTGGCTATTTCGAATTAGTACAGCCTCAGAGTGGTTGTCCAAGATATCCGGAATAGACTCACTGCACTGCTGTCAATCATGCTACTGGCAACGGTCTGTCGAGGCGGGAACTGGTACCCCTCTCGTTGCAGATTCCGGTACACCTCACCAATGTAGGATAGGTCATGCCGACCATCAGTCGCAGCGGCCCAGGTCTGTATCAACTCCAAGATCTTCGACTTGACATCGGCATTGACGGCAACGGTGCCCACGGCTTGTAGAAGCGAGACAAGGTTGTCCATGAATTCTCGGGAGGCGATCTCAGCGAGGAAGTGTGATCCGCCATTCTTGACGCACGTATCTGTGAGCTAGGAGGATGTGAGAAACTGCTGCAGCGATATATTCGGGGCCATGCAGGGTCGATCATACATTGAGAGCACTGAGCTGAGTGTTGGGATTCTTGTTTCCGATGCGCTTCTTGAGGGAGCGCATCGCCTCCTTCGGCGCAACGGTCTTCGATCTGATGACATCGGAAATCTCCAAATTCAGTGCGATATCTTCTCTAAAGAATTATTAGCATCAGGGAACCCGGGCAAGGAGAAGCCAAAAGAGCTGCGCACAAGCTACTGCTGGTAGCCTTCTCGATCTGCTCGTCCAAGGCAGCATTGGCCGAGGACGACCACCAGCTCATCATGTTTGGCTATCGTCGATTTCACGTCGCGGTCGGGCAGTTATCGCATCCACGGACGGTGTATGAATCTCGAAAAGAGGCTCTGGTATCGCGGGCGGCTCGAGGAAGATGAGTGGACGCTGACGCAAGCTGTTGGCAGCGCGGCTGTGATGGATAGCAAGGAATTAGGTTGACGGTTCCAGGCAGTCGCCTCTCTTGTGACGTTGATGGGGCGCAGACTCCACACGCCTATGCAACCTCAAGTAGCGAGGTACTTGCAGTGCTCAGGGATCACAAGCGTCAATAGTTGGTGGGTGGTTATTTCTTGTTCAAGTCTTAAACTAGCGCTAAGGGGGACTATCGGTCTCGACTCTCGCCATCTACTTAGTAGAGGTTGATAATAATATTACACCACCGAGGTGTTGATGGAATGTGCCTGTGAGCGAGGTACTGCAGGTTCTCAGTGGGCGGGCAGCGATGTATCAGGAGCTGCCCCGAGCTTCAGGTGGGCTGCATATGCCCTGGAGGCTGGGCTGCTTCGCCCGGAGCTACAGGGTACGGACTTCGGACTACAGGTGTCTTAGGCTCAGCTCGCCGCTTCCTCCAGGCAGCTTCTGGAACACCGGGCATGAATAAGCGCCCGAAGCCGCAAGCACAGCCAGCTTCCTTCCGCTGGGATACGCGAGCCATTACCACCATCCGCACTTTTACTTTCGCGGCTTACCTGTAGGCTGTTCATTCTGATATTGCGACTTCTGCGCAAGATCTGGAGCTATCAAAAAGGCTGGGAGAACCACGCGACCAATCAACATAGGTGAGCCGTTGGCCCCAGCCGTTGGTGTTCACCGAACCGGAAGCGGAGATGCTGGCCGTAGTGTTTGTACCTTACAGAGTATTCTCAAGTAAGAGATGGCAGCCGGGAGCTATCCCATGAGATGACGACTCGTGAGGTGGCTTGGGCTCTTTCTCGACGCAGACACCCGCGCTTGCGGGGGTTGACTGGGAAAGGTCGCTGTGGAGGTTAGCAGGCTGTTCGGGGGGAACCTGTAAGGTTGGAGAAGTACCTAAAATTAGCGGCAAACATCCCATCATCTAAAGTACTGGCCCGCCTGCCCTGGTACCTTTCCTTGGCGACTGACGCATGGCAATCTAAGCCGTCCTAACCTCAACTTCCTTGTCCTCGTTGTCCAGCATCATCCAGCCTATCTCACCGCGGAAAGTAGTTCTAACCTTCGCTTGCATATCTGTAGGCCACGATCGCACGGCCTGTCGGCCCATCGTGCATAGTTTTAACGTCATCCAGCATTGTTCCCGACCCAACTCCTCTCGCCCGCAGCCACTCTTCGAGGGAGTATGCCGAATCCAACAGTCACCGTGTAGCAGCACGGCCTTATTTCTATCGCCATTGGGCGGGCCATCCCCGAACGAAGAAGCGGTTTTCCATGTTCAGCTAGGAGGAACGTCGACGTCCTAGGAGTACATTCGTTACTGTTGCGAACGACCCGTATCCCGATACCAGCGCACACGATCGACGCAGGCTGGCAAGCACTCGACCATCCCCCATTTCTGCACATCATACCAACTTGTCCATGACTTCGGCAGTGGGACCCAACCCTGCACCTGTCGGACCCGGTGGCTTTCGCCTCGACCCGTCCAACGAAAACAATAGAGAGTTCCCCATGGCCAACCATGGTGCTGGCCATGGAGGCCCTCCCCATGGAGCCGCACCACTTCCACATGTAGACGATATAACCGTCGTACCGAAAGACATTGACCCCAACCAATCGATGAAGAAACTACTCGAGATTGCAGAAGTGTCATTGCGTTCAGCAGAAGTGAGCCGAAGTTTTGGGCGCCCTGCGAACGCTTTGAGGGACTACGTGAAGGCATATTACATCGTTGTCGTCACCGTTAAGAAGCACAGCGACTACCACGCTTTACACAGTGGCCGGAGCGAGCTGAATCGACAGCACACGTCATTATTGAGGAAAATCGACCAACTACACCCTGAGTATGAGAGGATAAAGCAGGATATCAAAGCGGACAATTCGAGGACTGGGGTTCAACCAGCTTCCAGACAGGGAACGCTTTCAAGGTCATCTGCCGACATACCCTCAGGATCGAGGCCGGCACCGAACCACAATACAGCAGTCAACGGAGGCCAAGCCAAGGCCAAGCCCGTTGTTCACCCAAAACCTCAGGCACTTCATGGGAATGTGATCAACGGCTCTCACAGCAAATCCCAGTCGGTCTCTTCAATCAACCAAGACAGTCTAGCAGCGCGTTTCTCTGCTCTCAGAGGCCCTTCGGCATCTCCCGGACAGGACCCGCGCATCAAGACTCATCCCATCCAGGCACCACAACCGCCAAAGCCAGCCGGCCCCCGCGAAATGCCCATCAGCCCAAAGGTGAATGCAAGCATCGGTGCAATGCCATCTTTTCCCAAGATGCCAGCTGCAATATATAGTCCGGTGAGAGGAAATATGTCTGAAGAAACAGCCAGACTACCGACAAGCACCCCCCGAGGCTTCAGCCGGACGAATTCAGCCAGCAGTACCCCAAGCACAACACCGCAACCACCCAGCAAAGATTACTTCTCTCCAACCTTTACACATGCCTTCACTTCAGATCCTCCTGCATTAACCCGAACATCCACGGGTGTTTCTTCGGCAATGTCTTCCCCAAGGCGCTCGCTAGATGTGGCGCCAGGGGAATTAATCACAGCTCAGGAGCTATTTCAGTTCATGAAGGTCAAGGGATCTCTCCTGATTATTGATATTCGCAGCCGGCAGGAGTTTGACGACGGCCATATTATGACAACATCCATTATTTGTATTGAACCTGATATCCTGGCGCGGGAGAACATCACCTGCGATGATATTTCCGAAAGCCTTGTGCTCTCGCCAAATCATGAGAAGCAGATGTTCGACAAGCGACATGAGTTTGATCTTGTTGTCATCTATGATGAAAGCTCGAGACGACTGCCATCCCCACCACGGAGCGCGGAGGATATGGCCATCATGTCACTCCACCGCGCTCTTGTGCACTTGAGCTATGGAAAGGAGCTTAGACAGGCCCCAAAACTCCTCAAAGGAGGCATCGATTCTTGGGTGGATCTTCTGGGACCTTCTTCACTTCAATACACTTCAGAATCAAGCTCCAACACTGCTCGTCTTATTCACGAAAGAGGCGGGTCGCTAAGCCGCAGGAAATCCAAGTACTTGGTAAAGCCAATGAAGCCTGATGATGTCAAGGCGTGGCAAGAAACTCTGGAGAACGATAATTTGCAGACAGCATCCTCTCCAAGCCTTTATCGTTCCACTGAAGAATTCATGCGGCGGTTCCCAGCCGTCTCCTTGGAGCAGGAATCCATGACGGCGCCGGTTGCGAGGGTTGAGCAGCCTAGCTATCCTGAACCGCCAACTAGGCCGCCCCCTCCGATACCAAACAGAGCAAATCAATTTGGCGATCTTCCTGCTCCTCCTACGCGGCCCGCACCCGCAATACCGCGACCCAGTCATAGTGGACTGGCGATCGGGTCTGCTGGTAATAATAATAACACTCGCCAGGAGGTCGTCGAGCAGCCCACTCCTGATAACTTCAGACATTACACTGGTTTGAGCAATCCCCACAACTGGTGTTATGCAAACAGTGTTCTTCAGGCTCTCTTGGCATCCGAGTCAGGAAAGGAGCTTCTCAACTCGGAGTGGAAGCAAAAGTATCACGTCCCGAAGAAGAAGAATGAGAAAAGTGAGCAGCCGCAACTCATGATGCAAATTCTGTCCAATCTCTTCCATTGGATGTCAGCTGGCAACTTCAAAGCTATGAAGGCAGGGACTTTGATGGTAAGATAACTTCTGTTTGATATTCCCGAACTCAATCCCACTAACCTGCCTGCAATTAGAATTATTCGCGACATGTCAGTAACCAAGCCCGATCGGATGAGGTGTTTGGTGATCATAAACAACACGACGCCCAGGAATTTATGTCTTTCGTTCTCACCCATCTGGATGACGAGACAAACGTCTATCGTGATCGAGAGGGATATCCTGCCGCGCCAAAAACATCAGGCCAGCTGCTATTGCAAGCCGCCGTCCAGTATTGGAATAACCACCTGTCATACAGCTCATCCCTGGTTGACAAATACTGGCGTACCATTGAACTCTCTACCGTAATGTGCCACTCATGCCAGACGAGAACTTACTCTTGGAACACAGTTGATAGCATCAACTGCAGTGTTGGCCAGGGAGACACAACTCTCGAGAAAATCCTCAGCTCACACACTCAAGGCAACGATCTTGATGACTATCGTTGCGACACCTGTCACGCCAATAGAAGAGCAACCCAGTCTTTCTCGTATCCCCGGATGCCTTCTGTACTATGTATCGTTCTCAAGCGGTTCGGGCACGACGGGTATGGCGCCACCAAGTCATTGGCAAATATCACCTGGGATCTGAATGACCTCGATATGGCCCCCTACTTCCTCCATCCTTCAGATTGCGAATACGACGGCTACATTGAGGATAAAGCCTTCACCGCCCCCTTCCGCTATGAGTGCTATGCCGTCGTGGAGCACACGGGAGGGAGTGCCCAGTCTGGTCACTACACAGCGTTCGTTCGGGATCCCCGCACACATGATCCCTCGGCGTGGCTATACTGCAACGACGCATACGTCGACAAGGTCCGTATGGACAACCCGAACGAGAAGCGACGGCTGTTCAAAGATGGCAACCGCGTGCCATACATTGCCTTCTTCAGGAGAAAGGGTGGCTCCTAAGCTTGGACAAGCAACCCCGGGATGTAATGATTTTCTTCCTGCAGGCATTTTTCCAGTACAGGGGCTTGGAGGGTTCGTTGATTTGGTTGGGATTGTCACGAACAAGCTTTTCAGTGCCTTGATTTTCAACAGATTCGTACATATTTATACACCTCGACACATATAGATGACTAGGATAATAAGCATGGCAAGGGCGTTTCGCATTTTTGAGGTCATTTGAGGTTGATGGGTAGGAAAGGGGGGGCGTCTTGAGCGGCTCATGAAATGCATTGTGACTAGCAGGCTATGCTTAGGTTCTCTATCAAGTACTTTTCAGATTTACGAACAGCTTTCGCTCCATCATTCAAGCATGTGGTGAGAATCCCTTAGTGTTGTTATTCTCGTTGAAACAGGAGCTGTATTAAAGCCATCATCACAAGCTTTTTGCATCCGCTACATCAAGAACCTCCGCGTACGCATCTTCACATACATACAAATTCACGGGTTTGGCACATTGGACCATTTAAGCTTAACAAAATATTATAGATTCTCAGCGCCCAAAGAAACTCTGCATAAGGGGTTACATTCCGAGAGACATTAGAGCCAAAAAAAGAAATAGAAAAAAACAACACACTGATAAATCACAGCAAGCAAAACAGGCGCCCAGAAGCGTGGGTATTGATGGAGAGGGTAGAGAAGTGCGTAATGTGACAAGGGAGTTTTAGAGAGTTCCACAAATACACCGTGCATACGATGCTGGGGGTTTAGTTGGCGGCCTTGAAAGCGTCGTCGATCTGCTTCTTGAACGTTGAGCGGATGGTACGTCTGTTGAGCTTCTGGGTACCAGTGACGAGACCCTAAATAGGAAAAATATTAGCGATTGATGTCCTTCTTGTGGTGAATTAGCTAGTTCGATTAGACTTACGGTAGTAGGAGTCCACTCTTCCTCTGTGATAACGACGTTGCAGATGATCTCGATTCCGGTGAGGCCAGCACGGCGGCCGGTTGTCTGGAGATCCTTGAGAACCCAGCCAACCATCTTGGGGTGGTGGTACATGTCATGCTGATCAATGCCGAGCTTCTGGGCCTCATCAAGGAGAACCTTCTCGTTTGGCATGATGACAGCGATGGGCTTGGGGTAGGCCTGGTCGGCGTGCACCATCAGGTTGGCAACGGTGTGAGCACCACGGTACACGGCCTCGAGCTTCTCGAGAGCGATGTACTCGCCACCTTGCATCTTGATGAGGTTCTTGACACGATCAATGACCTTGAGGTGACCAACTGAGTCCCACTCTCCAATATCGCCTGTCTTGAACCAACCATCTTCGGTCAAAGCCTTGGAAGTCTCCTCTGGGTTGCCGTAGTACTCAGTAAGAGTAGGCTTGCCCCTGATGTAAATCTCACCCTGGGGTGGGTTGTTGTCGGTAGAGTAACCAATGTCGGGAATGGAGACGAGCTTCACCTCAATGGATGAGGGAACGGGGCCAATGGCATTAGGAGTGTATTGGAGGGGAGAGCCCAGGGCACCGTTGGCGCAAGTCTCTGTGAGACCGTAACCACCCAACATGGGCGCAAGGACGAGCGAAAGGAAGTTCTTGGTGTCGTCGGCAACGCCACTAGCGCCGTTCATAGTGAACCGCAGTCGCCCACCAGTCATGTCTCTGACCTTCTTGAAGACAATGCCATCAAGCATACTGGCTCCGGGGAGGCCGTTTCTCGTCATGAAGCTCTTGTAATTAAATGCTCCCCAGAAAAGAGATCGGAGGACAGGGCTAGACTGGTCGAGCTTGCTGATGACACCCTTCTTCACAGTTTCCCAAACCTGAGGGACACCGACCATGACGGTAGGTCGGAGCTCACGCATATCACCGGCGCAGTTGCGGACAGAGGTGTCGGAGAGAGTTCGGGCGTTACCGTAACCGAGGGTGCCACCAATGAAGAGCACCAAGTTCTCGAGGGCCATCTCGAAAATATGCGCCGAAGGCAGGTATGCGAGGATGACTTCCTGGTCGCTCACACATTCCTCAACGCACTTGTAAAGACCGGTAACTGCGACACCATGGTTAGAGCTAAAGAAAAGAATTACAGACTGTTTGTCGGGGGCACCTACCAGCAGCAACAAGGGCTTCGTGCTTGATAGAAGCACCCTTGGGCATGCCTGTTGAGCCTGAAGTGTACATGACGCAGTAAAGGTCCTCGGGCTTAGCTGGGTTGGCCTCGACGGGGTTCTCTTCGCCCAACTTGCGCAGTTCTTCGTAAGTGATGACCCTGATATCGGGGTTATTCTTCTTGAACTCTTCAATCTCGCCGCCTTCGGTAAAGATGGAGTCTTCGTTGACAATGACGGTCTTCACCTTGGATTTGCGGATGGGGCCTTGGGCCGTCTTGAGCAGGTGAGGGTCTGTGTACATAGCATCGGCCTCAGTCTGGTTAAGTGAGTGCGATACACCATCCTCTCCCAGAGTGTCGTATGCCGTCACAATGGGGATGGACTGTGATGCGCAGGCATGGGCGGTGGAAATCCAGTTCGTGCTGTCAGGGTAGCACCAGAATTAGCCTCGTGCAACGTGACAGAAAGGGCGCGCTGCGTGGAGCAAGATCCGTGCAACGATGGATATTCAAGGGCGTGAATGAAACTCACCTAGTGGTAGCAAACAGATGAAGTTTGTGCTCGGGATTCAGGCCGATCTTTCGAAGACCGGAGCCAAGCTGCAGCACGAGGGTCTCGTACTCCTTGTAGGTGATGAAGGTGTAGGGTGTGAGCTCGAAGTATTGCCACTCCTTGTCAACCTCCTGGGTCTCGCCATCGACAATCTTCTTGATCTTCTTGGTCTCCTTGTGAAGCTTGACAAGCTTTCGCTTACCAACGGCAGTGTGGTTTGGGTATTCGCGGGCGCTTCGGCGGATAATGTCCCAGACAGTGTAGACATCCTCGGCGGGTCTGTCGATGAGGCCGTCCTTGGCCTTGAAATTGCGACGAGGAATGGTCTCGCCCTCGACCTTGGGGGCACCGGGCACGTCAACTGTGAAAGGTGGCTTCTGCACCTGGTGCAGAGGCATGATACCCGACTTGAAATCCATGGTGGGCGGCGGGCAGGCGGCGACGAAGGGAGGTTGGAAAAGTTAAGCACGGCAGCCACAGCAAAAGATTCGCGACAGCCCAAGGGTCGTCGAAGGGGAATTGGGGGGAGGAGCCGGTGGGGGAGGGCTCAAGACAGGCGGGCAGCAATAGTGGGAGGAGGAAAAAGACAGACGGAGGAGGGACGGGGAATGGATAATATTAAACTTGGTGGTGATGAGGATGGAGGACGGACTGGCGCGCGCACGACGGCCTTTGCCTTGGGAAGCGGGCTGCAAACTGGGGCAAGGTCCAGGTGCGTCAGGTAGGGGCCAGAGCTTCCCATTGGCTGGGCGGCTGGAAGTCTGGGGATGCTTGGGAGCTTGCATGTACCGGTACAAGCCCGCCCAGCCAGCCAGTGCCATCTAGCGCATCCAAGCTGAATTTACAGCGAGGGCGGCGCCAACGCCACCACCCACTACGCCCTGCACCGCCTGTAAGGTTAGCACACACTACGACACGCCAAAGCCTAAGCAGAGACACGTTGGAGGCCTGGAGCTTCCCGTGCCCCAAGACCGCCTGCCCGAGCTGATCTCAGCCAACCGAATCCGCTGCTGCACGTCAGTCCTCGAGGATCTGTTGATAAGGTAAGGAGTCGGGCTCCTGACAAATATCTAGGAGCCGAGAGGTCTCCGGGCCCCCAACAACGGGAACACACTTTCGCAGTCGCCGTCGCCCATAGCTCTGGATGGATTCCCACGATGGAATGGCCGCACCCTCCAGACCACGGGGCCCTCTCAGAAGCTTGTTTCTACTACTTGCACATCAAGCCAGGTCACCAGGGCACGCCTGCAATGGACGCCAAGCTTGCTGGGCGAGGGGGATTCAGCGCCACATCTAAAAAAGGCGTAAAGCAGAGCCATGTACAGTACAAGGCCCAGGGCCGGTGCTCCACCTGAGCTCCTCAACAAAGCTCCACGATGACGATTTGATACTAGACTGAAGCAGGTTGTGTGCTTGGCACGTTGAGGCCAGACCGGAATTAATAACTGATCTCCAGCGGACTGCACATAGTCCTCGGCAGCTCGGACGCTCTACGTAATCAATCGTCTATCAGTCCAGCATCCGCGCGATCCATGCGAATGGAACATCAGGTCTACGCACTTTATGTCTACCTGCACAACCCAAGCCACGTATGCGCCGGCGAGGTCTAACGACGTAAAGCACTTCCGCGGGCTGTTCCTGGAGCCAAGGTCCCCGCAAACAGTGCGATGTCGAGTGTGACCAACCCTTGACTGCTCTTCATTTACCTTGCAGAGCTACACACAACCAACCTAGGAATTAGAGTGTGTGCCAATGTACTATTGGCTTCGGTGCCAGCCAGGATGCGAGCCTATTCTTTGTGTGACATGCCATGGCTTATTGCCAAGATTAACCTCCCTCCATCACTGGCTATATCCCAAACATTGATGTAGAGGCGTCGTCCAGAGGTGCGGGGAAGGAAATTACTATTGGCAAGCCAAGGTCATGATCACAGACTAATGTGACCAGAATACCCAGCTGCGCCTACCAACACGCCAAGTCGTATTCCTGTCTCTGTCCATGGTTCTAGGTATCCATCGCGTCTGCCCACCCTCTCTTCACACCAGGTGCCGACTTAGATGGGCCTCCCAGTCAGAGGGAGTTGCACCTGCGGCACTCCCTGGCGCCAACGTATCCCACCACGCCAGCGATGCAAACTTCGGGATGCGAAGGCCTCGGCTGATGCTATGGCCGAAGGTGGCGTAGTTGGGATTGTTGGGGATTCGTGTCGTGTTCTCGTGATGCATGCTGCCTAAAGCTTACACTCTCCGGGTCCGAAGCTGCCTACCAATCCAAGGCACCTATCGACGATGAATAACAGAGGATCTACTTGGAGATCTGCCGCTGATTTGATGCTGAGTACGGGGAGGCAGCCCCTAGT